TGAAGGGAGACATCGGACAGGGCAAGATATGACAAAATAACAATCTATAAACTATCAAGGGTTCATGAGGGAAGGGGGAGCGGGGAGGGAGGGGAAAAACGAGGACCTAATGCCGGGGGTTTAAGTGGAGAGAAAATGTTTTGAGAATGATGAGGGCAATGAATGTACAAATGCGATTTACACAATTAATGTGTGTATGGATTGTGATAAGAGTTGTATGAGGCCCTAATAAAATGATTTAAAAAAACAACAACAAAAGAATGAGCCATTTTTAAGGAGTAGCAGAGAAGAAAGCCCGACCAGGGGAAAGCACATTCCAGATCTGTCTGGTATGGTGGAGGCTGAGGCACATAGACTCAGGAGCTAGGTAGACTGTGGAGAACCTTCTCCTCATCTGGCCTGAGACTATGGACAGAGCGACAGGCAGGCTCACTTCCTGGACCACAGAGGCAGAAGGTAAGGGACCACGTGCTGAGAGGCTGAGGACCGGAGAGAGACTTGGCTGTGGGCTGAGGAGTATTGCTGTGGACCAATGACTATAGCCATACTGCTTATTGATCTTGGTTTGTGATAACCTATTGACTTCCCTCATAAGTCCATATAAGTTTGATTATTGTCTGTGAGTTCTCTGTGGCCAATAATTCGTTGTTGTGGAAGGAACAGTTGGTGTCAGAGTCAAAAAAGTTCAAACTCACTGCCATTAGGTTGATTTCAACTCAAAGTGACGCAATGGGTTTAAGACTGTAATTATTTATGGGAGCAGAAAGCTTCATCATTCTCCCTCAAAGCTGGTGGTGGTTTTGAACCACTAACCTTGCAGTTAGCAACCCAACATATAGCCACTACTTAGGTAAAGAACAGAGCCTGGAGGCATGTCTGACATAGCTTTTAGCAACAGGGAAGCCAGAGGAAGTCGGATATGGCCCCCCACACTGTTCACTCCACTTAGAATCAAATGAAAACATTATACACCAATACCCTTGGAACACACCAAAATGGTATTCA